CTCTTAAAATTCTCTCTTTATCTTTGGTTTTGGCAAGTTTGATTATAATATGTCTTGGTGACTTTCTTTTGGGATCTACCTTATGTGGGGTTTGATGAGCATCTCGGATAGGTATCTTCTCATCTTTCATGATATCAGTGAAGTTTTCTGCCAAGAAATCTTCGACAGTTGTCTCTGTGTTTTCTCTTATCCCCCACTGTTCTGGTACTCCAGTCACTCATAGGTTATTCCTCTTGATAGAGTCCCACATAATTTCCTAGATTTTCTTTATTTTTTAAAATTCTTCTGTCTGATTTTTCCTCAAATAAGTTGGTGTCAAGTGCTTTATCTTCAGTCTCACTAATTCTGACTTCTCCTGCCTCAGTTCTGCTCCTATGACTTTCTATTAAGTTGTTTAATTCTGAAATTTTATTGTTAATCTTCTGGATTTCTGATTGCTGTCTCTCTATGGATTCTTGCAGTGTATTAAATTTGTCATTATGCTCTTGAATATCCTTCTTAAGATCCTCTATTTCTGTTGTTCTGTTCTGTGTGTTCCTTAGCTTGTTCTGCGTTTTACCTAATCTCCTTCCTGATCTCTTGAAGAGTTCTGTACATTAATCTTTTGTATTCTGCCTCCGGTAATTCTGGGAAATTCTCTTCCTGCAAAAATTCCTTGATTCTTTATTTTGGGAGCTTGCTGAAGTCATCATGGTCTGCCTCTTACATGATTTGATGTTGACTGTTGTCTCTGAGCCATCAATAAGTTATTGTATTTAATTATTTTATGTTTGCTTACTGTGTCCTAGCTTCTTGTTTTGTTTTGTTTTGATATGCCCAAATAGGCTGCTCGTGTGAGCTAGTTTGATTATCGGCACCTTTGAAACTCTAACGTCCTGTCACCAGGTGGTTAGGTCTGTTACTAAGTTATGTGAGCCCATTAGTCCGTTTACTTTTCTTGTATGGATTTATCTCAGGTGTCTAGGTAGTCAGTTACCAAGTGTGTGGTGCAGGCTCTTACCTGCAGTCCTAGACAGGCATGGGTGGTTGGTGTAGGCACAGATATCTGGCTGCAGTAGGGGGTCACACGCAGAGTAAGGCAGGGGGCTGACGGCTGCCCCTGAGTGTCTGGGAGGAAAGCGTTTCCCTGTTCCCTAGAGCACATAGGTGGGTGGGTTTTGTAGCCAGAGTATGAGCACCCAATGATGTTAGCTGTACGGGCTGGGGGGCACCACTTATTCTTGGACCTCTGTTGCGGGTGCCAGCTTTTTCTTCCAGATGAGTTTTCATCATTGGTATTTTCAAGCTATATTAGGTACCTAAGGTGGCATATACTTTTTAAAATTAGGAGCATAGTTTTTGATTTTACTTAGTTCTATCATCCTTTTAGTTTCTTTCATAATTTCTGATGTGGGGAGAAACTCATAATCTCAAATTAAATTCTCATGTATTTAATGAGTTTTAATGCTATTGAATATGTAGTTTTTTTTTTTTTTTTAAGAATTGAGGAATATAGTTGATTCTTGGATTTATCTTACATCTACAACTTTGCTGGATTCACCGTCTCTAGTAATCTTTTGATTGATTTTCAATTATATAAATTATTCCAGAATAGATATCTTGATTGCTCCTCCACAACCTAGTACTTTTACTGTCCCCAAATTAAAATGCTGTTTTAATTCTTCAGATTACCCTCATAACTGTCTGAAATTCTTTCATTCATTTGCTTTCTTGTTGTTAACTGTCTGTTTCTTCTCTTTTAGAACATTAAATTCCATGAGAGCAATCTTGCCTTGTTGTTCACTACTGTGTCCATAGTGCCTAGAACAAACAGTGCCTGGCACAGAGTAGGCATCAATAAATATTTGTTGTTGAATGAACAACCTCAGTAACAATCCGTATTTTATTTTTTCCTCTCCCTGTGTTTATACCCCATTTTTCTTCTTGGACAGCTACTGTGGTAAATTAGAGTAATGAAAATGGACATCCTTTATATTTTTTTCTGTGTTATTTAAAGGAGTAACTAATACTGGTTTTTGGTTTAAAATATATAATACTGGATTTTGGGTTACAATATATGCCTCTATACCCGAGACTGTGGCCCCCGGCACCCTGCTAACTCAAAACTGAAGCCATTCCCAAAGTCCACCTTTCAGCCAAAGATTAGACAGGCCTATAAAATAAACAATAACACACATGAGGAACGTGCTTCTTAGTTCAATCAAGTATCGAGGCCAAATGGGCAACACCTGCCCAAAAGCAAAGATAAGGCAGGAAGGGACAGGAAAACTGGAAGAATGGACACAGAGAACCCAGAGTAGAAAGGGAAAGGGGGAGAGTGCTGACATATTGCAGGGATTGCAGCTAATGTCACAAAACAATTTGTATGTAAATTTTTCAATGAGAAACTGATTTGTGCTGTAAAGTTTTACCTAAAACACACTAAAATTAAAAAGAAACAAGTAAAAAAAAAAAAAACTTCAGCAAAGTATGTGTGTTTGCAGTGGAGGGTGGGGGTAGGGAATATTTAACTAGTAAAATCAGGTTTTTGAGAGATCAGGTTCTTGATGCTATAAAGTCTGGCTTCAAAAAACAGCACTTTCCAAGTAGTTTATAATCTTAATTACATAAAAGGTATGCTGTGGTTAGGGGAAAAAAATCAAAGTGGTAAACAGTGTCTAAAAAGACAGGTAGACTTTGGTCTGAGTAAGATTTTAGGAAGAAAGAATGTTGTAAGCTATTAATTGTAAGTAATTTGTTTGTCTTCAGTTGTTGCTCTGTTTAGTCAGTACTGAGTGATTGTAGGTTTAGGAAATGGTAAATTCATTTACTATCCATTGGATTAAATTGTATGCAGTGACCTGGGTTGTTGTTTGTTTGCTTCTTTGTTTTTTGACTGATCGTTTCCAGCTTTACAGTTTCAGTCTTGGAACTTTGATTTCCTTCTGTTTCTTTGTCCTGCAAGTTTGAAAAGGAAAGCTAAAGTGTCCAGCTGAAGAGCTTTGTGAAATACTTTTTAGCGGGAACCTTTTCCCTCTGGAGTTGATTTCCTTAGTGGGTAGAGTGGTTTCTCCCGTAGTTAGACGTTTTTTAAGGAAACAGGAACCAGCTTTTCTTTGATTCTTGGTGCGGTGGCATGGAAGCAGATTTTGTAGTGGGAACTCCACACTTGTTAGTAGCAGCTGTATCATAGTTGTTGTTTTATCAGCACCATTTAAGGAGCTCTTCTACGGAACACTTAGTTTGAAGATTTCTTTGTTTTCAAATATATTTTGGCTTTTTCACTTTTATTTTTTAGGCTGTGCGTGTTACAAAACCCAAAATCCCAGAAGCCATACGAAGAAATTTTGAGTTAATGTGAGTAATATGCATGGGATTCCAAATATTTTTATTTAGGGTTGTCTGCATACTAATGCACCAGTCTAGAGGAGACTTATGTGTGAGGTACTATGCTGTGGGGTGGGATATATGTGTATCTTCCATACCTTTTATTCTAGTAGTGTCACCTATTCTCACGTTTTAATTCCCATTTGACTCTTATTAAATTTCTGTTTATACATTGACATTTCAGGGGCAGTTGAGTGGCCAAGGATGCAGTTTACTGTATAACTATTGCTGGAAGCCTAAGGAGTTGTAATTTAGATGTGAATAGTACCTTGAATTAAATATTAATAGAAGAGAAAAGGAGATAAGGTTAAAGCAGAGCAGGTGTATTTTGTTACTGTGTTGTAATGGTGAGAATAGATACCTTGTTGGTATAAAGTTTGGGTTTCCATTGTATGTGATTGTGTATCTAAAATTAGACCAGGATCTTTATCATTTGTTTCTGGCTAAGCCTTGCCTGAGTTGACTCCTTGCAGTCTTCTCTTTTATGTGTTCAGGTCTGGCTGGGAAGGACTTGTTATTTGCTTGATAGAAAATTAGTTTCTAAGTGTTTTAGAGGGTCCCTTTTAGGGGAATACTTTTTGCAGTTGAAATGTTATTCTCTTATGACAGATACTGAAAAGAAGAAACATAAGCCTTTTAGGAAATTTGGCAGATATGTTAACAAAAGGAAAGATACGGGATGCTGGGAAAATAACTGCGAAAGTCAAGAATACAACAGATGTATATAGATAGAGGGGGTCCAAGGAGTAGTAATAATACTTCTTTGTGGGATAATTTATTTCTGAGTCCTTTTTGCACCCAGGTCTGTATCTTCTGTCATGTGGAGTTTTATTTTCCTTTTCCATTGTAGAGAAGGAACTCTTCTTTTAAAACTATAAAGCATGGAGTACCAAGCTGGGCAGATCATGGGCCTGATCCATTTATTGAAAAAAAATATTAATGAAGGCTGAGGGTGTCTTTGTCTTTAAATATGATAGCTTCTGGTGATAGAAGGATGAATATTGTGTGTTCTCAATCCTCAATTCTTAGTATCCATCATGGCATTTATGTTTATCAGTGTCCTGGTGGCAAAAGGAGGAAAGGTTTGGGGGGAAATACTCTGGGGAAACTATTGGAGTTACTTTTCAGATTTTGTGGATCTTTCCTAATCTTATAGGCTGTTAGAATTCCAGAATTAAAAACCACCTTGGGATCGTTGAGTCTAACCTCCCACCTAATAGTAGTCTTTTTTTAATACCATTTCTGCTATGTGGTCACCCAGTCTCCACTTGCACATGCTCACCGATAGGGAGCCATTTCCATTATTGGAAAGCTCAAATTCTTAGAAAATTCTTCCTTACATTAAACCCAAGTTCACCACCTAATAACTGCCCCCTAACTATGTCTTCTGTACAGTAAACAGGGCCACTGCACAAGGTAGCCGCTTGAGTCAGGCAGTGGCTGAAAACCAGTTTCATTCTGCTTACCAAATCGTGCACCTGAGAAACTGCAGCTGCCCAGAGACTAGTGCCTTTTTCTAATTGGCACAGTGGTGCTGTATGTGCTCACAGGAGGCCCAGCAACAAAGAAGTGTTGATACACTTCCTTCCAGATCATAGGCGTTTCTATGATACAGTTAGAGGAAAAAATTAGACTAAAATTCAAATGTACTAAATTTTACTCTTTGCTCTGGGTGACTTTGGGCAGATCATTTAACCTTTCACCCTCAGATTTATTGCTAAGTAAAATAGGGTAATACCCATCTTGCCTACCTTAATAGGTCAGAAAGTTTAGGTATAGAATGGTTCTTCTGATCCACTGTAGGGTCAGAATTACTGTCTGTGATTGCATGTATGAGAATCATTTCTAATTTTTATAATGTTTTGCTCCACAGGGAGGCTGAGAAGACAAAACTACTTATTGCTGCACAGAAACAAAAAGTTGTGGAGAAAGAAGCTGAGACAGAGAGGAAGAAGGCTGTTATAGGTACTTGGATTTCTTACTGAAATGGATGTCTCTAGGTACATGTGTTATGAATTTGTCCTGTTTTTTTTGTTGGTCTCATGGTGGATATTGATGGGACTCAAATAAGATTGCATCATACTCAGTGGAAAATTTTGGAAACGCCTTTGCACATTCAGATGTCCTAAAGCCTTAAAAAGGAGGGGAAGCCAATACTTCATGAAGTGGTTTGGCTCTCTGCCCTGTTGCTGGCTGTCTTATTGTGTTTTTCAAGGACAGGGAGAGTGGGTAGGGCTTATCAGCAGCTTTATTCTCTCTCTACAGTAGGATTTTTGTCCATATAGAATAAGAAAAGGGAAATTTTTTGGAGGAAGCTCAGGATTATAGTATGCATCCTTGCTGTTGACATGCACCTAGTTGTATCTGGATCGGTAGATACTGCGTTCTATGAAAGTACAGCAGAATTGTGCTTATTTTGAATTACAGTGGTTTTCCTAACACTCCAGGATACCTTTAGACTGTCTTCTTAGGCCTCAGTTGTTTGCTCTTGGGCTGGTGAAAATTTAAGAAGTTTTTGATTAAATATTTCACATATACAGGTATGTACAGAGAACAACATAATGAAAGCCTAACATTTTGCTATATATTTCCTTTAGATCATATTGTCTTCTAAGGAAAAAAAATTATAGGTCTGTTTGAAGCCTCCTTTGTACCCTCCCTTGGTGGTATTCCTTGACCTTTCTTCTCAGAGTAGCTTCTTTTCTGAAGTTGATGTTTATCCTTTCTGTCCATATTTTTACACTTTTACTATAAACATGTATCCATAAACAAGTTATAGAATTATTTTTACCTATTTTAAACTACAAAAATGATATCAAACTGTACCTTTTATTATACAACTTGCCTTTTTAACAAACATTGTTTTTGAGTTTTATTCATGTTGATAATAGTAAATCTAGATCATTTTTAACTGCTGTGTATTATTTCAGTCAGTGATAAACCTCAGTTTATTCAGTTACTAATGAAAAATTAGGTAGTTTCTACTTTTATTATAAATAGTGCCACAGTAACAACCTTACCTGTGTCTCTGTGTGCAGTGTGTACGAATTTCCCTAGAGTAGCACTTCACACCATATGGTATGTGTTGCTGTCCCTTCGCCAGCTTTTTCTTTCTAATCCATAATGAGATAACTACAGAGATTGAGAGTGAGTGTTTTACAAGTTCTTATAGCATCTTAAGACATTAATTTTATCTCTGTTGAATCTAATAATAAACAATGGGCTTATATTTTTTGTTTTTATTGTTTAATTTCTTTTTTCTAGTAGCTCATTTTATTATCATTTATGAAATATTGGTTCCTAACATGTTAAAATATACACACATACAAAATAGTCCCTTCCCGCAGGTAGTTTGAGAAGCACTGCTCTGGAGTATCTAGAGTAGAACAGAGATTAGAATATCTAGAAGTAGAACTGGTCATAGGTATGCATATCTTCAAGTTTATGGCATATTGCCAAATTGTTCTCCAAAGTGATTCTACCGTTTTTACCCTCTCTTCTGCAGTGCTTGAGATCCAATTTTTGTGCTGCTGTATGAGTTCCCTTTTTGTTTCTTTAAATTTGCTTTAGGTGAAAGTTTACAGAGCAGATTAGTTTCTCTTTAAACAATACACAGACTGTTTTGTGACATTGGTTGTCAACTCCAGGATGTATCAACATTCTCCCCTCCTCGACCTTGGGTTCCCTATTTCCATTCATCCAGCTTTCCTGTCCCCTCCTGCCTTCTCATCCTTGTCCCTGGGCTGGTGTGCCCATTTAGTCTTTTATACGTGGTTGAACTACATGTGTTATCATTTGTTTTATAGGCCTGTCTAATCTTTGGCTGAAGGGTGAGCCTCAGGAGTGACTTCAGTACTGAGTTAAAAGGGTGTCTGGGAACTATACTCTTGGGGTTTCTCTAGTCTTTCAGACCAGTAAGTCTGGTCTTTTTTTTTTTTTTGGGGGGGGGAGTTTGAATTTTGTTCTACATTTTTCTCCATCTCTGTCCAGGACCCTCTATTATGATCCCTGTCAGAGCAGTCCGGTGGTAGCTGGGCGCTATCTAGTTGTGCTGGACTCATTCTGGTGGAGGCTGTGGTAGTTGTGGTCCATTAGTCCTTTGAACTAATCTTTCCCAAGTGTCTTTGGTTTTCTTCATTCTCCCTTGTTGAGTTCCCATTTTTTGCACATCCTCCTCAACCCTTGGAATTACCAGACTTTAAAATATATGCCAGTTTGATGGTGGGCAGAGTATCACGTAATTTCAATTTTAATTTCCCTGATAACTAGTAAAGTTGAGTATTGTTTATTGGCCATTCAGGGTTTCCTTTTTTTTGTGTATGAATTGCCTGTTAATATCCTTAGCCCATAATTTGATTGCTTTTTTTTTTTTTTTTTTTTAATTCACTTGTTGGTCTTTATATCTTCTGGATACTTACCCTTTCCGAGATTTTTACATTGCAAAAATCTTCTCCAAATTTTTGATTTCTCTTTGAACTTGATGATATCTTTGACATATATATTTCATTTTGATGAGTCAGTTCATCAATCTTTTGCTTTATGGTTTATGCTTTTCCTATCTTGTTTAAGAATTTTTTTCCCTACCCCAAAGTAATAATTTTATTATAAGTTTTAAAATATTGCTTTTCATATTTAGGTCTTTAATCCATCTGGAATTTATTTTAATGTTTAGTGTGAAATAAGGATTCAGTTTTATTTTCCTAGACTACTTCCTGAATAGTTCATTATTTCCTCTACTTAGTTTCTGGTGCCACATCTGTCACATACCATGGTGTTATATATAATTGTTCTATTGCTAGGATCTCTATTTTGTTCCATTTTTTGGTCTGTCCTTCCCTAGTACTAACTTGTTTTAATCATTGTAGCTTTTATATTGTCTTTCTATCTGGGAGAGTGAGTTTCTCTTTAACTATTCTTGTTAAATACTAACTATTCCTAATTATTTCTGAAATTGTATTGGATTAGTCTGGGTCCTTTATTCTTCCATATAAATCTTAGAATCAACTCCTCAAGTTGAGTAAAATACTTTATTGGGATTTTGATTGGAATTGTACTGAATGTATGCATCAGTTTGGTGAGAATCTGTATCATTTTGATATTGAGTCTTATAAATGTATTGTATTTGTCCATTTATAAGAAATATCTTCCCCAGAAAGTTCAATAATTCTTAAATTTCTTACACATTTTTGTTAGAGATTTATTCATATATATCCATTAAGTTTATTTGCTGTTAGAAATAACCCATTGCCATCAAAGTCGATTCTGACTCATAGTGACCCTGTAGGACATAGTAGAACGGCTCCATAGGGTTTCTAAGCCAAGCTCTTACCCACTGTGCCGCCAGGGCTCCACAGGATCTTCTTTAAAAACATGTTTTCTAATTGGTTGTAGCTTTTGTATAAGTACACTGTAGATTTTCTATTCAGCAGTCTTGCTGAGAATGTTATTTCTAATAGATTCTTGTATTTCCCATGTGACAGTCATATTGTCTTCAGATAAGGACAGTTCTGTTTGTTTCTTTGTTACCCTGCATCTTTTATTTCTTCTTATCTTATTGCTTCAGGCTATGATTTCCAGTACAGTGTTGGGGGAAAACAAAAAAAGATGGTAACAGGCATTCCTGTCTTGTTTCTGACTTTAAAGGAAATAATCCCAATCATGTTTGTTGTTGTAGTTAACTTTTTTTTAGTTAATGAAGTTTCCTTCTGTTTCTTGCTTGCCAAGAGTTTTCATCCTGAATGGTTGTTAAAACTTTTAGATTTTTTTTCTGCATCTGTTGATATGACCATATGATTTTTCTTTTTTAAACTGTTAACATGGTGAATTATATTAGTAGATTTTTTTATCGTTGAATCATCTTTACATTCTTGGGATAAACCCATTTGGCCATGATGTATTGGGTTCCTCCCAATACATTTCTTTATATAGTTTGCTGATGATTTCTTTAGGATTTTACTTTCATTTTCATAAATGAGATCTGCTTATATTTTTTTTTCTTGTACTCTCACTTGCAAGTTTTTTTGTGTCATGGTTACAGTAGCCTCAAAATGAGTTGGAGAGCATCCCCTCTTTCTGTGTTCTGTGACATTTTGCATGAGATATGTATTCTCTGTAGATTAGTGAACTCACTTGTAAAACCGTCTTTGTCTAGTGGGGTTTTTGCTCTGTTGTTTTTTGTGGTAACATTTAATCTACTGATTTAATTTCTTTAATGGGTGTAGGTCTGTTTAGTTATTTATTTTTTTTAAGTCCATTTTGGTAATTTTATTTTTCTAGAAAATTGTCCATTTTCTGATGTTTCAAATTTAGGGGCATAAATTTATTTATAATATTCTCTCACGATTTTTGAAACCCTCTACCATATCTGGATGACCCTTTTTATTCCTGATATTTATTTGTGCTTTCGCTTTTGTTAGATCAGTTTTACCAGAGGTCTGCCTGTCTTTATCTTTCCAGAGAACTGGTTTTTGCTTTTGTTTGTTCTGTTGACATTTTCTTTTCAATTATATACCCTTATTTTTATTATTTCCTTCCTTCTACTTTTTTTGAGTTGACTTTTTCGTTCTTTTCTAATTTCTCAAGTTAAACGATTCATTAGTTTCCAGTCTTTTCTAATGGAAACGTTTAAGATTCAAAATTTTCTTCTGAGTCCTTCTTTAGCTATGTCTCACGAGTTTTGAAATGCAGATTATTTACTGGTATTCAGTTTTCATTCTTTTTAAAACATTTTCCATTGTGATTTTTTTCTTTAACGCAGGAATTATCAGTAGTATATTTTTCAGTTTCTGATTGAATGGATTTTGCGGGGCTACCTTTTTATTGTTGATTTCCAGTTTTATTGCACTGTGGTCAGAAGAATATGGTCTGTTATAGGGATTCTTAAGTATTTATTGAAATTTGCTTTGTGACCTACCATACATGGTCATTTTTAATAAATGTTCTTTGTGTACTTGAAAAGTTTGAGATGTGTATTCTCCATTTGTTGGATGCAGGTTTCTCTATCCATTAAGTCAGACTTATGAATTGTGTTGTTCACATCTTCTGTATTCTAATTTTTGCCTTCTTGAGCTATAACTGAGAGAAGTGTGTTAAAATCTCCCTCTCCCACTAGGACCATGAATTTGTTGACTTCTTTTTTTTTCTTTATATATTTTAGGGCCATCTCATTAATGAGTATCAGGTTCAAGATGGTTACTGCTCCCTGGAGAATTGCTCCTGTTACATAATAGCCCTCTTTATCCCTAAACATGTTTTTTGGCCTAAGGTCTGTTTTGTCCAGTGATTGTGTAGTTATGCCAGATTTCTCTTGGTTAGTTATTTTCCTGGTGTATCTTTTCCCATTCTTTTACTTTAAACTTTTCTGTGTTGTTGTGTTTTAGGTGTGTCTCTTGTAAACAGCATATAGCTAGATTTTGTTGTCTTAGCTGATGTGAGAGTCTGTCTTTTAAACTGGTGAGTTTGGTCTTTTTATATTTATTGTGATTACTGCTGTGTTTGGATTTGTTTGTATCATTTAATATTGTGCTATTTACCATGCATTTCTTTTCTCTGGCCCCGCCCCCCCGCCTTTCTGACTGGTATAAAAATGATTGAATTTTCTTTAGCCTTTTCTTCTTTTTACTTAATTGGAAATTTTGCATTCTGTTTCTCAAATGTATAACTAGTCATTACCTGTGAAATATTAACAAGCATACCTGACTTGACAGTGTCTAATCATTCTCTACATCGTCTTCTTGAACAATACGTTAGAATGTTTATCACTGTCCCCAGTCTTACATATTGTTGTTGCTTTTATTTCCCCCATTAAGTATGATCATCATTATCATTGATTCTTACAGTAAATATTTATTTTGATTTACATGTATGTTAAGTACTTTTTTCCTCTCCATTGCTTCTTGCAATCCTTTTTTTTTGGCTAGTTTTTCCAGTGAAGGCTAAGGAGTAGAAAATTTCTTCAGTTCTTTCTTGTCTTGATCTCAGTGCTTTTTATATTCTCCCAGTGCTTTTTATATTCTCCCTCATTCTTGAATGTAATTTAGCTTATAGTTCTAAACCAAACTTTTTTTCCTTATCACTTTAACAGTATTATTTCATTTTTGTTTGACTTCTTGTAGCTGCGTAGATATATACTGTCAAAAGTCTACTTGTTCCTTTTAGGTAATCAATCTGTCTTCTCTTTTTCTTTTAAGGTTTTTCTCTCTGTCTTTGAGTGCTCTTTAGTTTCACTGAGATGTGTCTAGGTACTTCTCAGTGGGCTGGTGGGTCAGGTTTTCCAGTCCCCCTTTCACTGGACTTGTAACCCTTTAAAGATCTCAGCTTTGAGGACTCTCAGTTCTAACATCGCAAGGCCTCATCTCCTGACCCTGCATGGGCAGTGACCCATGTCCCTCTCCCTTACTTGTCTAAATAACCTACCCCGGTGCTGTTACTGTGCAGGCTCTCTGCTCTCCCTTTTCTTATATCACTTAACTGTCTCCCATTCTTTCTTACAAATTCAGCTATGCATTAAAAAACAAAGTTGTTATATATTTTATTTAGCATTTTGAGGTTTTAGTAGCTAAAGGATTTTCTCACTAGCCTGGTCCACCATTTTTCTAGAAACAGATTCTGGTCATGCTGCTTATTGGTTTATACTCACATGTCACAGAGCAGTGTTGAATGGGATTGCCACAACAGTTCTCCCATGCCAAGACAACATTGTCTGGGTTCTGGCTTCAGGCTCCAGATCCCTCACTTTGATTCAAGTTTTATCTTGAGTTTCTGCTTACAGTTAAATTTCTAGCCCTGTTGAATATAGTAGATTATTTTTTAGAATGACGTGATATGGATTGGTTTTTCTCTGATAGAGAAATAAGCAAATATTCCCTGGAGTGTTTGGTAAAGGATACTGTCTTCTGGAAAGAAGAAACCCACTTAGAGTTTTTCTTTTTATAATGCACCTCCCTCAGGGGCCAGAGATAAGGTGTGTGTGTGTCTTTGGCTAAAAAAGGAGAATTGAGAATGTTATGTAAGAATTGCAATAGTTGAGTTTAAAGTATAATTAGAGTCTTTATAACCTCGTCCTGGGTGATTTGGGTAAGCCAGTGTTGCCTGCTGCAGCTAACATGTTCACACTCTCAGAAAAATTACCCTGCTTTCTGTTTTATCTTCTACAGCAGTCAGAATAATCTTTCTTTGATATTATTTTTATCATGTCATTCCCCTGATAGTAATTTAACAGTTGATCCTGATTATATTGAAACTAAGCTCCTTAACTCGTCATTCAGGACAGGAGTCCTGTAGCCCTCTTGTCTAATCTTTTTTGCTGTCTTGTCAGATGGCCCCTTATCACCTCTCCACTGTGATTTGCTCATTCATAACTTCTCATCTTTGTTTATGCTTTCTGGTGTGTCCTCCCAGGTCATGTCTATTATTTCCTTCAAGATTTCTTCCAGAAGACCTTCTCTGGTTTAACTTACCTCCCTTATTCTTTCTTTCTCCTGCTACGTTATGTAATTGTCCTGTGCTGCCATGCATTTATGTTGCTCTGTTTTTGTTCTGTGGTACTTTCATAAGAGTATCTTTTTTTCCTGTTAGCTTATGGACCATTGCTATATTGTGTTGTAGGGGAAGAAAATCATAAAGTTTAGTAAAGCAAAAATAAAGTTTTATTCGGCATATACTCAAAAGGACAAAAGTGGGAAGCTGACAAGCATGCTGCTAGAGCCATGTCTGTCTGAGTCCAAAGAATATTACACAACAGGCAAGAATGGGAAAACAGACAAGCATGCTGCCACAGCCATGTCTGCCCGAGTATATATTAACATTACAGATGGGCAAAACCATTGAAAGCTTTACCTTTTCACAAATTGGCTAGAAATTGTGATCCTACATTTTGAATTGTCTTTCGTAACAATCATTGGTACAGGTTTCAGTAACGAGAGTCAGGAGGGTCTTCATTGGTCCAACAAATTTCTGTTCACTAAATGCTAATAGAAAAAGACAAGAGTGGAAAGTCTTTTGTGTTCTGTTTGACTGGCTTTACGTGAAAGTTTCCCTAAAAGACATTTTCCAAGATTATCTTAGCTATTGTCTTTATACCTCAGGGCCCAGTTGATGTGTCCTTGTGAGCCCTTAACGAGTCCTTGTGAGCCCAGCTCCAGCTGGGTCATATTCTCTATGCTCAAGGACTGGGAATAATAACTCCAATATTATTTCCTAAATCAGTTGTGCCACGAAGGACTGAAACTGTTACTTTTTATATACCTTCTTCCCACAAAATTAGCACTGTCAGAATAGAACAGTGTAAAGTAGAAAATAAATTGCCTTTTTTCCTTTGAGTTGTTTACAGTCTGGTTAGTTAAAACTTCATGAAACAATTAGCTCATACAATCTTATATAATTAAATGTTAGACTGTGTGCTGCTGATTCTAAGTGCCACGGGGATGAGAGAAATGCATTTGAATGTGTCTTCTTTTGTTGTATAACTATAGAAGCAGAGAAGATTGCACAAGTGGCAAAAATTCGATTTCAGCAGAAGGTGATGGAGAAAGAAACTGAAAAGCGCATTTCTGAAATTGAAGGTACATCAGGGAGAGTGTGAGGCTGTGACTGTCCTGAACTGCTGCCTTCCCTGGGGAGTTGTGTTCTTGTTTGTGGTGGGTAGCATGGCCATAGCAGAGAATAATCTGGTCTGGAGAAAGTGGTTGGCCTGATACTCTAGACAAAAAAAAAAAAAAAAAACTATTGCTATTACATATCTGTTGGTTTAGTTTGTGATTGTGGATAACTCAGCCTTTCAGTTTCTTTCCTTAAATTGGGGCTTATTAGCTAACACTTTCATTTCCAGGCAAAGTATGAGAATTACCCATAATCAGTTGTAAAGAATGCACAAGATAATAAAGCTTACCACCAGTTTCTTTCCCATCTGTCAACAAAAATAAAATTAGCTGGGGGGGGGAGGGCGGGAGGGAAGAAGCCCCAGTTTTCATGGAACGTCTTGAACTCTTCGATTTCACATGGTAAGATGTTATTCTTAGCTCACAAGCAGACTGGAAGACCAAATATTGAACCCCTTTTGCTTATATACTGCTGCTTCCTATCTTTCTCCTTTACGGAGGCTGGATCAAATTCTGAGGGGCTGGGGACAATGGAGTAGACAGAGTAGAACTTCCATGTCTGGACTTAGTTATTCTCTTTGAAGCCTAGAGCCTGGGTGGAGAATGAAGGTTTGGCTGATGGGAGGTGGGTAGTGTAAGAGGAGGAGGAAAGAAGGAGCAACTTTGGCTGGAAAATGAAATGGACTCAAATGAGCTGAGAGTTATTCTGCAGTGACAAGAGTATTCCCCGTTGAGAAAGAGCTATCTGCAGACTCGGATTTGAAAACTGTTCATTTTGTTGTAAGTTTATGAAGCAAAGTAAGCACCTGAATTATCAGGCAGTGGAGAAAGGGACCCCTACCTTATGGTAGAGTCTGAACTCTTACATAGCTGAGGGAATAGATTGGCAACTTTGCTTTGTTTTAAACACCCTGACTCTGTTTTGCTTGCTAGATGCTGCATTCTTGGCCCGAGAGAAGGCGAAAGCAGATGCTGAGTTTTATGCTGCACACAAATATGCCACTTCAAACAAGGTGACTGGCTCTCTGTGCCACCTTCCTAGTTGTATGGTTTAGGGGTTTGCTTTTCCTTTTGGGGCGCTCTAATATTGTAGAGAGATTTTATCCAGTGTCAAGAAAGGGTAGGATTGTCACATCCTTCAGAATCAGCCAATGACTTAGGAAGATGTACTGCACACTTACCAGGTTGGGGACTTTATATAGTTCTTTTCAAAAGTGGAAGCTAGAACAAAGGCAAACAGATACTAAACACAGATCAAATGCCATAAATTCATTCATTTGCACTGTTATATAAAGGCTTAGTGATTAGTGAAGTTGAGGGTTTTCACCTGAAATAACTAGAATTGCTTCCCAGATAAGGTAGGTTTTTTTTCGGTAGGTGTTAAGTTGGTTTAGAGCAGTGTTTCTCATCAGAGACATTCTTGGCATTTTGGGGTGAGACGTTTTTTAATTGTTGAAGACTGTCTCACGCATTATGGGATATTTTGCATCCCCGGCTCTTGTCCACTAAATGTCCGTATTGCTTACCAGTCATTTTAGCCACCAAACTCTACCTCCTTCATACACACATTTCCAAATGCCACCAGCTGAGAACTGCTTATTTATAGGATATAGAAAACAGTTCCGCGCATGAGGAATGGTGTATGTGGTAACTTGAGGAGGGAGGTAGGGTGATGGATGGGTAAACAGTGTATGTGTAAGTACAAGGGTAGGTTGGCTAGAGAGTGAACAGGAGTTATTTAATTAAGAGGCAGCTAGAACCCCTACAGTATTCTGAGAAGGGAAGGATAAGACCAAGATTTATAAGATGATTATTTGTGGAGTACATTGGAACAGAGAAAGGGTTGAGATAGAAGTTGCTAATGTGTACGATGCAGCTTGAGGGCTTAGAGTCAAGATATAAGCTGTAAGACAGGCCTTAAACTCTCAGTTTAGCAAGAACAGCATAAACTATATTCAGAAGAAATGATGAGACGTGGTAGTTAGACAGAATGAGAGTTGTCAGTACTTTGAAAACCGTTACAAATTTAGAAATAAACTTAACATGTTGGAGGACACAGCCCTATAGAAACAGATAGGAATTTGGTGAAGATGAAAGCAAGATGGGAAACTTCCATTTATAAAACTAGCAATCTAAATCTGTAATGAAAGAAGCTGGCCAGGCACAAGTATCAAGACCCCTACCATTTTGAAAAATGCTACTCAGGTATCCACCTGTAGTAAAAAGGCCTTCAGAAGTAATTTGGTTATGTACTGTGACACATTTGGTTACAATGTTTTGACAGAGGATATGATCAACTGGAGAGAGCGGTATAGATCCAGGGCATCAGAAATGTTGGAACACAGAAAATAGATACTTGGAACTGTGAAGGACAAAATGGTCATTTGCCTAGAGGACAGACTGAGACTCAAGGAGGGGAGGATCATTAGGGAAGGTTCTGGGGGCCTTTTGGAGGAGTGTCTATTCCGTGGAACATTGGAAATGAATTTTAATCAAACTCAGATTTTGGTTGGCTATATTTTGGCACCATGATTAAAACAAAACAAAACACCGCAGCAGGTAACGGGGGGATCTGTAGGAAGGTGGTTGACAGACATCTGCCCATCACGAAAGTTTAAACATGCAGCTTCTGAGTAAAGATAAGAGGCCAAACTAGATGATTTTCTTGAGACCTTTTACAGTTCTGGAATTTGGTCAAGAAAAGCAGATGATGGCTGATTATAAAGCTATGAGCCCAGGGAATTAAAAGGTTACTCATTGGTTCACTAACATTAAAAGGAAATTGGAAAGTAGACAGGACTTTGAGAAGAAAAAGTAAGGGTTTTTATATATTTGTTTTGATAGTACTCTAAGTCACAGCCCCTTCCTTTGAAGCTCTGCCACTCCCATCTGTTGACCTGTTCACCTTTCTCTGAATCAGAAATTCCCATCAGATTCCAGGCTGAATTCAGCTAGATGAAATGAGAGCATATTTTATAGGCCTTAAATCACTATAGAAATATTAGTGATTATCATTAGATAGTTATTAATTATTCCCAAACCCCTCCCTTCCCCAATTAGCCATTACATCCTTTTATTAAGAAGTTAATAACTTCTCCTGCATTAGGACAGAAGTTCATTAAAGGAGCTTCAAGTCTGGAACATCACTGTTAATGTGATAGCCACACTCGAAAGTGAGATGGGGTCATTGGCAGCAATTCAGAGTTGAGAATGATACTTAGAAGAACAATAGAAAAAATGGATATAGGGAAAGAGAGAGATGACTATTGCACAAAAGTATCCTGATGTCTTTGCTCTTGTTTGCCCCTACACAGCACAAATTGACCCCGGAATATCTGGAGCTCAAAAAGTACCAGGCCATTGCTTCTAACAGTAAGATATACTTTGGCAGCAGCATCCCTAGCATGTTTGTGGACTCCTCTTGTGCTTTGAAATATTCTGATGTTAGGACTGGAAGAGAAAGCTCTCTCCTCTCTAAGGAGGCTCTTGAACCCTCTGGAGAGAGCCCCATCCAAAACAAGGAGAGCACAGGTTGATGCAAGAGGTGGAAATGTTCTCCCATATCAAGATGCGGCTCAAGGGGTTAAGTGGGAACAGTGGTTATACCGACTCTTCAGATTTACAGAGAACTTTTGCTCCGTCTGTTCTGCCTCTCCTGTGATAATCCTGGTTTATCAACTGAATGCAGGATAGAGCCAGCTGTCTGGCACTCACATGGTCTTTTCAGCTGCAGTTTTATCAAGTATCATTTATGTGTTTCTTTCTAAACTGGTACTCATGAATGAGGGAAAGTCTGATGCTAAGATACTGCCTGCACTTGAATGTTAAACACTAAACATATAACAAGCTGTGTTTTTCTAAGCTGAGATCTATATGTTTACATTGGGCCCTGGGGAAATGTGTGCTCAGCCATTCTAGACATGAGAGGCCAGAGGGCAGACAGTCAGGATATGGTAGGTATAAAGACTGACTGCACCCCAGGCCCTCTTTTTGGGGTCCCATGGCAGCATTTGTCCATGTGATTGACTTCTAGGCTGCTGAGGTTCCCCAGGAAGTGATCTTCCACTTGAATAACCGTTTACTTGATATGATTTGCACCTTTCTGTTTTCTAACAGTCAGGTTGGTGGCCTGCTGGGATGTACACCTTGCCATCCAACCAGAGATACCTTGTAGAGATTCCTGATCAGAAGTTTACTGCATTAGTATGGCTCAGGAGGGCTTGATTTGTCACTTTGGGTTAGATGAAGCCATTTGCTCTGAACCACAGCTCTGGGGCCCGGCATTCCTCCCCATTTTGGTGATGACTGTCGGCATCACTGCCTCAGGCCATGAGTGACTAAGGTGCCCAGTTTTTAGCCACAGACAACTCCTTACATGTCCCTCTCGGCTCTGGCTGGCCAAGAGTGGGACAGGGCTTTAACCAGAAATAGGAGGGAGCAGTGTACAATTCCTAGCCACTCACTGCACAGTATTGTATCATGATTGCAGGAAATGTTTTTAAAACTGGATTTGGGGTATGTTCACTTGCCCCAGCACTGCTCCCTAAAGGCTAAATCCTAGAGCTGCCATGGTGGCTAGCACACTGACTGTTCTGAAGATTGTTCATCAGGAGCCCACATAGTGTGAAACGAAGGATAGAAAGAATCCTTGGTCATCTCTCTCTTCCCTCCTGGCCCTGAGATGCTGAAATCAAAGTTGTTTTTCCAACTTTCACCTTCCCTGGATATCCAGTAGACTTAATTTTCCATGAGAGGTAGCAGAGCTAGCCTGTGGCTATGGGAGACCTATTTCATCTGGACTTTTTCCCCTTAAACGTTAACTTTCCTGATACAGTGTACCCCATAGTTAGGCCTGAGTTTGTGCAGCTTGTTAAGACACTTCTTGTGTACACTCTGAGGAAGCCAAACCGAAGTCATGGGACCACCGCCAAGAAAGCTTCCAGCTGCACGTCAGCCCTTCAGTCTCAGGACAGCTTGTGGATTGTGCCAAACACTGAATTTGGGAAAGGAAGGAAATCCCAGATTCTAATGGGTCTTTTTCCTGGGTCTTATACGTCAGAGGCACTTATAATATGGAGAGAATCTTTTTTTTTTTTCTTTTTGCTCAATTAATTATATAAATTTCCTTCTGAATGAATTTTGTGTTCTTTAGCCCTCTTAAAAGAACTTTTGAATTATAAAAACTCTTAACCTGTCATAATGTTGCTGCAGATAAATAATGATTGTTGTGGGAAATCTGGATCATTGATGTTTGTGCTTTCATTCCTGGAGATTTTCCCTATTTACATGAGCTAAAAGCTATTGCTCCGAAGTGATGGTGTGGGTTTTCTTACAAGCCACAAACCCTGGTGTCAGGGTTGAGGGACAGGGAAATGCCATTATGAAGTTTTACAGAAAGAACTTCCACTTAAACTCCCCATGGAGTGTGCTTCCCTGTGCTCACTCAGTGAGTTCTCAGTCTGTCCCTCCTTCAGGGATGTTCCTTTTGGCAAATATACACTGTAATCTTGAAGTCTAAATTTATATGTGAAATGCTACCTTTTTTAAAAATAAGAAACTAAATAAAACTATTTTACTATCAGTGATTTTGTGTTTTTTTCTTTATGTCTCCATTCTTTTCTGTTGCCTAACGCACCCATCGGTCAGTATTTGTTGTACTGTGGTGTCTTGCATGTTGCTATGATGCTGGAAGCTCGTGTACCACTGGTATTTCAAATACCAGCAAGGTCATCCATGGTGGACAGGTTTCAGTGGAGCTTTCAGACTAGCCGGTGAAAACTCTATAGATCACAACACTGTATTGTCCAATATAGTGGTGGAAGATGAGCCCCCTAGGTTGGAAACCAAAAAAACCCAAACTCATTGCCAATGAGTCAATTCCAACTCAAAGCGACCCTATAGAACAGAGTAGAACTGCCCCATAGGGTTTCCAAGAAGCAGCTGGTGGATTCAAACTGTCAACCTTTTGGTTAGCAGCTGTAGCTCTTAACTACTGGGCCACAAGGGCCCCAGGGCATTCAGAATACACGGTGGCTACAACAATGGACTTAAGCATACCAATGTTCATGAAGGTGGCGGAAGACCGGGCAACTCTTCATTCTGCTGTACATGGAGTGGCCATAAATTGGGGTCGACTCGATGGCAACTAACAGCAATAAGGCTCTCTTGCCCATTTCAATTAGGTAGCCAGTTTATTTGATGGTTTAACTTAACTGTAGAGGCTCTTGTACTTTTCCCAGAATACCACCTTTAATAAAAGGATGTTAAAAACAGGATTTCCACTCTTCCCTGACTCATGGAATTTAACAGGGAATGTTGTTCTGATTCTTTGTGGGACAGGGCCAGCAACAGAGGAGGGAAGAGAGGAAAAAGCATAATCCTCCTTAAATCCTTTCCCTGAGAACTGAAATACAGTGAGGAAGGGAGGCGGTATCCCAAGGTGGAGGAAGGACAATTTGGATAAGCTATAACTGGCAGTGGTAATGATTATCACTAAGGTTCACTAATTCACCCGGGCTTGGCCTGCTCTTCTCAAGCTCTTTACATTCCCCTCTAGGGACACTTTCACAGTGATGTTGGAACAGCAAGTGGTAATTAGGATTTTTGGAGGAAAGCAGCCCTTTACTCAAGATTCCTCTGGGACCCAAGACCACAGTATACTATGTCAGCTGGTGCAGACCAGGGAAATTTAATTCAAACCAGTTATCCTATAAGCTTTTGATAGGTGTTAAAATGAAGTGATTCCTGGAAAACAGTTTGGCATTCCTCAGAAAGTTAAACAGAATTACCATATGACCCAGCAATTTCAATCCTAGGTATATACCTGTTATGGATTGAATTGTGTCCCCCAAAAGTATGTGTTATAAATCCTCATCTCGGTGCCTATAGATATAATCCCATTTGGAAATGGGTTGTCTGTTATGTTAATGAGGTAGGATTAGTATTGAGCATCTATAGTCAATCTCTTGAGATATAAAAGAGAGAAAACAAGCAAGCAGAGGAGAGAGAGGGTAAGATAGATGCTAAGACACATGGAAATCTCCAAGGAAGCAGAAGTTGAAGAGACAAGGACATCTCTCCAGAGTCAACAGAGAAAGCCTTCTCCTAGAGCCAGCACTTTGAATTCGGACTTCTAGCCTCCTAAACTGAGAAAATAAATTTGTTTGTTAAAGCCATCCACTTGGGGTATTTCTGTTATAGCAGCACTAGATAACTAAGACAATATCCAAAGGCTTAAAGCAAGGACTCTTACTTGTACACCAGTGTTCATTGCAGCACTCTTTCACAGTAACCAAAATGTGGAAACAACCCAAGTGTCCATCAGCAAATGAATGGATAAACAAAATGTGGTATGTATGTACAGTAGATTATTGCTCAGCCATAGAAAATAATGTTCTGTTTTGTGCTATAACATGGGTAAAACTTGAAAACATGCTGAGGGAATTAAGTCAGACACAAAAGGACAAATATTGTACAATCCCACTTAGATGAAATGAGTAGGCAAAGGATCCCTGGTGGCACAATAGTTTAGCATTTGGTTGCTAACTGAAAGGTCAGCGGTTTGAACCCACCCAGCGGCTCAGCAGTGCAAGCAAAGACCTGATGATCTGCTCCATAAAGATTACAGCCTAGGAAACCCTACAGGGAAGCTCTGCTCTGCCCTAAGATGTTGCTGTGAATCGGAGTCAGCTTGCAGGCACATAACAGAGTAAGCACAAGCATAGAGACAAAAGTTTATTAGTGGTTAGCAGGTGTCTTAGGCTGGGTTCTCTAGAGAAGCAAAACCAGTAAAGTGTATAAATATATATATAGATGGAGATTTATATCAAGGAAATGGCTCACGTGATTGTAGAAGCTGGAACATCCCAAGTCCGTGGATCAGGATAGAGGCTTCTCTTGATTCATGCCTCGGGGGCTGGCAAACCCAAGATTGGCAGGTCAGAGAGCGGGGCTACCGCTCACAGGCTGTGAAGGTGGACAAATGCCAAGGTCAGCAGATAAGCTGATAGCTCAAGTCCCAAGAACCAGAGGTCAGATGAACAGGAGATAGCTGCAGGATCCAGAGTAAGCAAAAAGCCAGAATGTCTGCTTATATTCGGATGCAGGCCACACCCCCAAGGAAACTCCCTTTCTACTGATTGGCTACTCACAGCAGATTCAATCATGGGAGTGATCACATAAAAACTAAGAATCATGGTCTTAGTCAAGTTGACACATAATCTTAACCATCAGGGTCTACCCCTTGTCAACTTGGCACATGTATGTATCTCGTTATACCGTATGTAATCTCTGAATAAAGACAATTATAAAGTCATACGTGGTGCCTGACATGATACAACTAACATGCATACAACCAAAACGCACTAGCCCTGTTTACATCTTAGAAGAAAACAAAAATATTTGATGCACACATACAAAGCAGAAATACTCATAACAATTACAGCTCTCATTACTGCAATTGGTCACATGGCCTTAACTGGCACTTAGAACTACCTTCTTCCACCACCCATTCCATATTCTCTTTGCCCTCAGCAAGCACCTCAGCTGGTCATGGTTCTTTGCCTGGTGGGGTGACCCAAACCTTCATTCATGTCAGAATTGGATTGCTGTAGTTTTCCATTAACTTTAGTCACGGGGCATGGTGGTACTAAGAGATGCCCTAAGGGATCTCCTGCATTCCAGACATACTTTTCTTTACCTCCATTATGTAATATCAATCTGATTTCCTCTTGGTAATCAGGATCAATCACACCAGCCAGTATGGTAACTCCCTTCTTTGCCTGTTGATCCAGAGGCATAAGGAGCCCAAGTAGCCAGGTGGCATTCTTAGCTTCCAGTTCAATGGAATCAGTGATGTATCTTCAGGTGGGAGCATTCCTCCCTTTGGAACTAAGACCTCTAGACCTGCAGAGCATAAGGTCACAGGGACAGGAAGCAAAAATCTTGTGAGCGGGTCACTAGGGATAATAGTGAGTGGTGCCACTCCCATTTCCACCCCTTGATTCCTGGATCCGTGAATCCTAGCTTTGGGAGAAACAGCACCATATACTGCACGCTGGTTTAGAGCATATATAGCCTCCTGGAGAACACTGCCCCAACCCTGCAAGGTATTGCCACTTAGCACTGTAATTGTGTCTTTAGAAGTCCATTCCAATGTTCTGTCAAGCCAGCTGCTTCAGAGTAATGGGGAACATGGTAAGACCAGTGAATTCCATGAGCATGGGCCTACTGCTGGGCTTCATTTTTTGTGAAGTGGGTCCCTTGATCAGAGGCAATGCTGTGTGGGATAACATGATGGTGGATAAGGCATTCTGTAAGTCCACAGATGGTAGTTTTGGCAGAAGCATTGCAGACAGGGAAGACAAATCCATATCCAGCGTAAGTACCTATTCCAGTAAGGACAAAACGCTGCCCTTTCCATGATGGAAGTGGTCCAATATAATCAACTTGCCACCAGGTTGCTGGCTGATCACTTGGAGGGATGGTGCCATATCAGGGACTCAGTGTTGGTCTCTGCTGCTGGCAGATTGGGCACTCAGCAGTGGCTGTAGCCAAGTCAGCCTTGGTGAGTGGAAGTCCATGCTGCTGGGTCCATGCATAACCTCCATCCCTGCCACCATGGCCACTTTGTTCATGAGCCCATTGAGCAATTACAGGAGTAGCTGGGTAAAGAGGATGACTGGTTTATATGGAACGTGTCATCCTATCCACTTGATTGATAAAGTCATCCTCTGCTGAGGTCACCCTGTGGTGAGCATTCACATGAGACACGAATATCTTCACTTCTTTGGCCCGTTCAGAGAGGTCTGTCCACAAACATCTTCTCCATAAATCCTTGTCTCTAATTTTCCAGTCATGTTCCTTCCATGTCCCTGACCAGCCAAACCATTGGCCGCATCCCATGGATCAGTATACAATTGCACATCTGGCCATTTCTCCTTCCAAGCAAATTGAACAACCAGGCGCGCTGCTCAGAAGTTCTGCCCATTGAGAGGATTTCCCTTCACCACTGTCCTTCAGGGAGGTCCCAGAAAGGGGCTGTAATGCTGCTGCTGTCCCCTTTTGAGTGGTGCCTGCATATCTCAGAGAACCATCTGTAAACCAGGCACGAGTTTTCTTCAGTCAACTGATCATAAGGAACTCCCCATGAGGCCATAGGTGCAGACTGGGAGATGGAAGGTAATGTGACAGGAGGGGGGACAATGGGCATTTGGGCCACTTCCTCACGCAACTTGTGCCTTCAGGTCCTGCTCAGTTGCAATCTTCTGTATATCACTTCTATTTAATGATGGAGCGTTGCTGTGCACATCCAACTTTATGACTCTGTGGGTCAGACAACACCCAGTTTATGATGGGCAGTTCAGGCCACATGGTGACTTGGTGTCCCATGGTTAAGTGTTCAGTCTCTACTAGGCCTAGTAACAAGCCAAAAGCTGTTTTTCAAAAGGAGAGTAGTTATCTGCAGAGGATGGCAGGGCTTTGCTCCAAAATCCTAAGGGTCTGCACTGTGGTTCACCAATAGGGGCCTGCCAAAGACTCCAAACAGCATCTCTATCTGCCACTGACAAAGCACCCTTGGAT